CTCCAGTAACAGATTGGGTACTGACATCCAGAATGCCAAACATGTTGTTGTATCATACACAACCTTAAGCAGAGGTACAAAAAACAAGGTGGGTTCCAGAGAATGAAACAAATCACTGCCTGGCCCTGGCAGATGCCCTGTATCACTCACTATGCATGTATGTGTAGTCCTCTGGTCCTGGACTGGAATCCCCTCACAAGTATCTTCTGTTTGAATGCTATCTACTTGGTGACATTGCCAGGCTTATGCTAGATCCTGCCACAGAAGTGGGCTCCCTTGGAATGCTACTAGGACTGCAGTAAGAATTTTAAGTGAATGCTTTGGTAGCGACAACATGAAAAAACCTTTTGGGAGGGTGAAGGAAGATGGTTGTGATCTACTTAATCAGTTCCATCTGGAAATGAATAAGGTATGAAGCATCATTTTAAAACTGCTCCTTGGTATGTTGGTTACAAGTGCTGTGCTCAGACTACAATAATTTTATTACTAGAAGTAAGTGACCATGTGTCGTGGTTTAACCTGGCCGGCAGCTAAACACCACACAGCCATTCACTCCCCCTCCCCCCTCCCTCTCTGGGATGGGGGAGAGAAATGGGAAAGTGAAGCCTGTGAGTTGAGATAAAGACAGTTTATTAAGCAGGAAAATAACAATAACAGTAATAATAAAAATAATAATAGTACTACTACTAATAATGTATACAAAACAAGTGATGCACAATGCAATTGCTCACCACCCGCTGACCGATGCCCAGCCTAACCCTGAGCAGTCCGGCCCCCTCACCCCAGCTAGCCACCCCTATATATTGTTTAGCATGATGTCAGATGGTATGGAATACCCCTCTGGCCAGTTTGGGTCAGCTGTCCTGGGCCCGTCCCCTCCCAGCTCCTGCTGCAACCCCAGCCTGCCTGTTGGAAGGACAGAGTGAGAAGCTGAGACGTCCTTGGCTTGGTGTAAGCACTGCTCTGCAACAATTAAAACATCGGCGTGTTATCAGCACTCTTCTCATCCTAAGCCAAAACATAGCATTCTACCAGCTACTAAGAAGAAAATTAACTGTCCTAACTGAAACCAGGACACCATGAGCTTTACTGCCTAACATGGCAGCAAGCAAATGACTCTATCCTGTATGTGTAGCCACGTCACAGTATTTTCTTCTTAGTACAAGCCAAGACAGCTTCCTAACAAGCACACAGTGAAGTAGAAAATACAATTAGTCTACTCAAAAGGGAAGTTGTTAAAAAAAAATCAGTTAAAATTTTTGATTTGCAACCTAAAATTGTAGAAATTATTTTTAAATGAACTGTAACTATAAACTGTTTTCCCTCTTGGCATTTTGGTCTCATAAATGCTAAGTATGAAATGGTGTAACAGTCAAACCATCAAATAGGGATGATAACTACCTCTCTTAAAAAAAAAAAAAGAAAAAAAGCCAACTTGGTTTTCATAAGAATGATGCAACCCAAACATCAATAGCAGTTATATCCTCAAATAAGGACATTCCTCAGTTTGGACCATATTTAGGAAATATATTTCTTCCAATGTTTTTACTGTCTTTCCACCATTTTGTCCAGATCACTGTCCTCTACAACATCTCACATGTATGGAAAGATAAATAGATGGTTTCAGGTAATGCAGAAATGGGATTCTATCCCTGTCATCTCTTTTACAGAATACTGAAACCTCTGATTTTAAGTCTTACATACTACTTAAATTTGAGATCTCTTTTACAGCATACAGAGTACACAGAGTTGCGATTTGTGGAAGCAAGGAATCAGCATTCTCCACTTCCTTTCTTCTAAATACCCCCAGAAACATACCTTATGACAACTGGTATTTCTCATTCAAATCAAAGCACATTAAGTATTTTCTAACATGTTTATTAATTAGTCTTCACTTTTTTTTTATTTATTTCTGATATATTGAAAATGTTCATGTAGCACACAAGACCTACAACAGATAACAACAAATAAAACTGTTAATACAGGCTTGTAACTCATATCCAAGACTCAGTAAGCTTGGTAAGAGTTCTGGTTATTTAGCTTTCTTAAATTCTAGGCATTGATCCTTTTCATTGTTGCATATATAACTGTTCAGAAGTACATTCTCATGGTAGGTGAACACTAAAAGCCTTTAGTTTAGAGAAGATGATTGAAAAGATTAACATTCCAAAATAAAGTTTTTTCTTTCTGTTGCAGGAAGCATCAGTAAATTTATCTTGGTCCATCGCTGCATTACTTTTTCCTGAAAATACAATGCTTATGAGGACAAGTTATCCATGCAATTAGTATATAAAATTAATTAACCTTTGATTAGTCTACAAATTATTATTTTTTCTGTCATCTCTTCAGTTAAAATTTTTCCGCAGCTTACACATTACAAGATACACAAAACGGAAATGAAGTAAAAAAAAAAACAAAAAAACAACACTATGTTATAAGGAAGCTGCTGAGTATTGAGTTTGTCATCATAAAATGCTACCCTAAAAGCAAATGATTATTGAATATGCAACTTGAAATTCTGGTCTCAGCAATCAGAGTTCTGGCTACAACAGACCAAAGGTTTCACCAAATGGTGACAGCTGGGGGCAGGGAGCAGGGCAGAGAGGAAGATGTCGGTTAAAGAACAAAACCAAACCAAAACAAACACCAAGAACCAACAACAAAATGAACCATCCTCTTCCCAAACCTTCTAATTCTAAGAGATGTTTGGTACTTTCAATTCACATTGAAAATATAAGAACTAAAGCCACTCTGAAGTGTGGACACACACTGCCATTACTTTGTATAGAATATTTGCATCTCCAAATGCAAACAAAAATACCCTACAGTGCATGACATGACACTAAATACCTTAAGTCTTTTCGAGACAGCCAACTGGCTGAACACTGGACTAATTATACATAGTTCAAAAACAGTTTAAATAGCACATATGAAATTTACAAATATACAATAGAAAGTTAATATGGTTAAGGTAACATTCTCCTGTATCACAGCTCTCCATTTTATTCATGTGGAAGGTTACCTTTATTATGATTACTAATCAGTCTCTTATTTTTAAAGTAGATTTAAGTGTTCTCCTATCTTCAATAAGGATTATGAAAACAATTGACTAAATACATCTGTAGCTTTCACAGAATATATTAAGTTCCCATTAGTGAAATTAAAATTATTCCTCTGTAATATTCTGAACTTATGAGGTTCTGAAATGTATGCATTTGGAGCCAAGGACTAAAAGTAAGGTTCTCGATTCTGCAAGGACAGTTCTAGAGGGAGCCAAGAACTAACAGTTTTCTGGCAGGTATCTACCTATACACCAAAACCAAATCTAAGAATCTTCAAATATGAAAAACAGAAGTAGCCTTATTAATCCCTGGAAAAGCAGCTAAGAATCTGAAAATATTTTGAGTTATTCTTACTAGACTTTGGATCCTCAGCAACCAGTACAGAAGAAACACTTCAGAACAATGTTGAAGATACCAAACTGGATGTCAAATCTGTTGGCCTTGTAAGAAAAAGAATTTCAGACAGTTTGCATTACCTTATCCATACCATAAGAGACAGACTACAAACGTTATCAGTGCTGCAGGTTACAAAGCTAACACGCTGATGATCAGGTACTACAGAAGTAGGCCAATGCTTTGGTATTATAATCCATCATCAGTTAATTATCAAAGGTTCCACTCCATAAGAAAAACAGCGCAGCCAACAGCAGTATTCCAGAGTAAGCAGTGGTATAGTTCTGTACAACATAAGTACAAAATTTCTAGAAATGGGTATAGTACTGATTCTGTAACAGGGATGAAAAATAGACTATACTTGGTACTAGGATTTGCACCTGTGTGAAGCTGCAAGAGATAAAACAAACCTTTGGAAACTTGTACAGCTTAGTTAAGTAAGTCAAAGCACAGAATGGACAGAGGTAGAGCAAATAAGGAAGAAAACATTATTTAAATATTCAGGAAAAGGCAACATTACTGAACAGGAAAGAAGTCAACTCTTAACTAAGAAGAACATAACACCTAAAGGAGTCCAATATAGAAAATCTGGGCACTTTTGACACAATACTGCACTGTGACTTCAGAAAGACTGAAGAGTCCACAGAAAAGAAAGGTCTGCTATGATTATAACCTATGAACACTGGATTTTGGATGTGTATATATTTTAATTAATAAGGACAGTTGAGGGGAGAGGTAGCCAGAATACTGATAATCCTTTCCGGAGACCACTTTCAAGTTGAGGCTGCTATTACATTTCTTTGGGAAGATCTATTAAATAACGTGCAGGGATAACTGATACAGAATCATCACTTCAGCACTAGCTAGTGGATATTCTCCAACAGACTTACTAGCTTTGATACTTCTAATAAGGACATATTGGTACCTCATGGTTCAAATAGCAACTGCGAATAGCAGAAATTTGGCAGGCTGCTGATACACACTGACAAATTATATATTACAGTACACAGTATCTGGAAGCAGTTGCTCTGAAGTCTCTGTTGACTCAGAGAATAGTAGCGAAATTAATGAATTTTTGGGCTGCCCAAAGATACTTACGATCTTACTAACTTTAATTGCATCAGATGAAAGCATTATGTGTCACTCTAAAGATCAAAAAACAGAATTTAAGATCTTCAAACAAATAGACTGGTGGGTTGTTTTAATCAGACACTGAAGAATGTAATAAACCATTTTGTAAAAGGAGATCAAAGGTATGCGTCAGTTGTTACTATACTATTTTGGGGACTGATTATTGATGATAGCCTATCAAGAACCTAGTCATCATAAAGTGATTTACTTGGTTGAACTGTATAAGATTTTGCAAATTTGATTTAAGAGCCAGAGTACGATAAAATGTGTTTGTGTGTTAATGAGACACTTATGGGTAAGACTTTCTGTTAAAGAAAAATAATGCAATTTTGAAAAAAATAATATACTCTATAAAACCAAGTCAAAGACTAAATGGATGAAGCATTAAACAAGGGAATAAAAACATCACAAAGCTGAAAGAGAAAAACAAATTTTAATAGCCCAAAACAGGAACAATTACCCAATTTTCAGTACATTTACACACACATATCTGGTTTGATCTCTTTTCTCTGTGGTAGCGAGTGAGTGAGGTATGGAACCTCATGGAGGTTTTCTCTGTTAGTGAGGTTTGGAACCCACCATCACCACTCCAAATAAAGAGTGGCAAGTCCCAAAGACAGCATCTTGAGAGCAAACTGTATTCTCCAAAGTATCTGATTTAGAATAATGCATGTTGCCTCAGGTAGCTTCTGCATCCCAGTGGGTTTGTGTCCCTCAGCTTCATAGGAAAGAAACGGGAGGTGGTCATACATACATCACTGAAGATCCCAGACACATTGGTGTGTGAGAAAATGAGTTTTGTCATCTGATGAAGAACTAGAAGGTGTATTTTGATCAGGAGATGGTTATATGTCCTGCAGGCACAAGTTAACTTTTTGTCTGTTGACCAGACAGATCACTTAAAAGGTTATTCTTCTCTTACAAATAGACCATATGTCCTGTTATGATGGCTGAATCTGATGACAACTATTAATAATCTGCTGAGATAAGACTTCGTCTTACACCTTTCCTTCCTTCACACTTCCTTCACACATGGATCATCACACTGAGAATTCAGATTTTAAATATTCAAAAATAAATCTATTCTTTAGGTGTAATTAGGATGACTTTCACATAAAATCTACTAGTTATGTTGGTAACAGAAGAAGATTACAAGGTTGAAAAAATCTACAAAGTGGCTAAAAGCTTATTCATCATCTTCTCATCTATCCCTAAGGGAAGAGTATATAGCATGAAGTTATGAAGCAGTGGGCTGCCAGACCATGGATCTAAGAAGATACTTGACAACACAGGGATACCAAACTGGGATCAAATAGTCTGAGAGAACAAAAGTGCTGGTGAAGTCTGTTCTTTTCCTTCCTTCAGATGGGCAAATTGACACTGTTATTCAGTAAAAAAATATAATACCAGTAAAGACAAATGTTACAAGAAACTACGGAATCTCCAAAACTTTTAAGATGTTTATAGTAATTTCTGACTTTTTTTTTTCCATTCAACTCTACTATAGTATTTCATGTGCAGTATAAAACCAAAGCAACTTCCCTATCAGGCATGAAATTCTGTCATTTCAATTTTATATTTCAATGGTTGAAGACTGTGTACCTCCGAGCCACACTTAGGACATGTAAAATACATATCAAATAAATAGTTACTTTTAATACAATAGTAACAAAAAACATGCAAACAGCCTATGGTATGCGGCATAGTAGGCCATTCCCCACACAATGAACATTCCTTGCAGTGAACTGCTAATGTGTTTTCATTATTAGGAAGACTTGCCATAGGCAAACACCACGAAGAAATTTTGAGTTTCAGTTTCTGTACATTAATGAGTGGCAGCAGGTAGATCAGAAATTCAGCGAAACCATGCCATAAGAGCTCCCTGTTCATGTATTCAAATCCTACCTGACGAACACTTTGTGGCTTGCAAAAAACTGACCTAATTCCTAGAATGCGTTCTGTAAGTGTTGCAAATGTTCCTTTCTGAAGAAAAATCAGAAAATTTACAAGTCCACACAGTTTAAGAAGTCCAGCTCCAAAGTTAAGGTAATACTTGATTTTACAGAAGGACTGTAGTTGACGATTGCTAAATAAGTCATAACATCTTTCTTCCAACCATCTTCCACCAACAGTGAAAATAAGATACCATAACTTCTGGTGTTTGCTCAGAGGCTGGTATTTTTCTGTCTGAGATAAATTATTCTTGTACTGAATATTCAGAATAGCCTGTCCCACAGTTGCATTCTTAGAATAGATAGTGAATCTCCACAGTAAAAGCCATAGAAATGCTTTTAATTCTGGTTCAATATGAGACAGCACTCCTGGTTTAAATCCATGAAAACAGCTGGTAAACTGGGACCACACTAGTTGTTCCAAGGCTTTGTTTAGTTCAAGAGCATCGAGTTGACTTATTCTAAGCACAGGACTCACACTCTTTTCATTTCCAACGCTGGAGGACATTTCTTCAGAAAAAAAACAACACAACTTTCTAGAAATAAACACAAATAGATTTTAGTGTAACAGAGCATTTCCTATTTTCATTCTTATTACAGATAACAAAATTGTAATATACCAGCAATAAACAATAAATAACAAATACTTCTTTAGATATTGTTATATTATCAGGAATTACTATGAGTCCCTTCAGCAAGCTTTACATTGACAGTATAAAATTGGCTCTGAAAAGCGCTTGTATTAGACTATTTTTCAAAAATAGTAACACTTTTACTTGGTTATATAGAAGTATGTAACCTGTTTCAAATATTCAAAAAACTTCACATATTTCACATTTCACTATTCACTATTCTCATTTCATATTCACATTGTGTAAATTAAAAAACAAACAAACAAAAAATCCTGGGCACAACTGTTACACTCAACTGGATCCTAAAATGGAAGAACCTTGTAAAACTGTAAAATTGTTTATGAAAAAACAGGAAAATGAGCAGAAAAAAATCCAGAAGAGAACAGTGGGGTGGATAGAAAACACTGTTCCAATTATAATTCAGTAGTTGCAGCTGAAAGTAAAAATCTTATCAATATAAAAAAAATGTACAGATTACATACAGAAAAATATAGAAGAAAATTAAGGCAAGAATGATAAAACCTGCTAAATAAAGGCAGCTTAGTTTAGGGAAGAATCATTATAGGTGATTAAAGAAATATTCAGCCATCAATTATCATACAGCACATCACTAAAGCCAGAATATATTTTCCAGAGTCTTAGACAGGTGCAGAATTGTACTACTTATACTCCTTAAATATTAAATTTCCTAGCAAGATCCTAGCAAGACTAATGCCTACTAGAAACCTCAACAAACATATACTCTTCATGTTTGAGCATTACAGAAAAAAAAAAAAATCAAAAAATTGTTCAGCTTAAATGTCATCATATCTGAAATTCTCTAAGAAAATAAATGTCATAAATTGTAAGAGCAAAATACGGATAACATTTTCACAATGCAAAAACTGTGTGATTTTTTTTTTTTATTTATTATTATTATTCAAAAAAAAGACAACAAAGGGATTTATGGAAAGGGGCATATTTCAGGTAGTGGGCAACATATTTCAATTTCTGAATCAGACTGTGTAACAGATGAGGGACAGCCTTTTGGAGAAGGTACAGAAAAAATGCTTGCAATTTATATGAGGAAAGCCTGCTCTAACACAAAATCACTTTGAATATAAGTTGCTAGATAGGACCCCAGATATGAATGGTTGCTCATGATATTAAGAATACTAAAAAAGTCCTCCAAACCAATAATGCCACCCTGAAACACTGTGCACCAAAAGTTTCAAAGCCCAGTATGAAATATTATTTATTTGTACCATGTGTACTGTTTTCTGTACCTACAGAAGTATGACCTGTAATTGGTCATGTCTGTAAGGAAAATACTGTGCAAAGCTCATAGGAAATATGATTTCATTCTTATTGTATGCTATGCAATGCTAATTTCCAATTAACCATGACTGGCTACAAGGATAGGGCATGGAATAACTCCACTTTGTTTCTTTTAACTCTTCCTTCCTCATTAACAAGTAAAATATGAGTAAAGCCACCCCCTCTGGACAAACTGAGGTTCCCACCAGGTTGACACCCACCAGCCTGACAAGACAGTAAACAAGGGCATACCAAGCCTGTCTCACTTGCACTTCCACCTTTTCTGTAGTAAGCACTGAGGCACAGGAAGTTTGTCTGGAAAGCACTACCCAAAAACTTATCTCCTCCACTTTGTGATCACAAGATCAATATGGACCCTAATCTATCTCCCTATATCTCTTCATTAACAGTAGCTCCAATGAATATCCTTGCTCCCAGTCCTCATTTCTCACCCCACTACAATTTTAGGAACCCCAGTCTCTGCCAGCCTGCTCTGGAACCTGTCACTCCAGCCTCATAATATTCACCCCTAATCTAGTGCCTTCTTCATTGCTAGTAACATCTCAGTCCTACTCATTTCACTCTCACCCACCCATTTTGATTACCCTCTCATAAGCATTCTGTACAGCTTCCAATACATATAATCTCCCTTCAAAACCCTAATTCTATTTTAACTGCCATCTCATCAAACTTCCACACCCACAGAAAAAAGCCTTAGTGGATCAGCTTTCAACACAATCATTTTTTCCAGCTGTCTTCCAGCACCATCCCAGGGGCTGAGATCCTGTTCTTGTAGATTTCGTGTAAGGTAAGTAGGCTAACTCTGCAGATTTTTTTTTTTCCTCCAGTATGGCTAGATTCTTTAAAGAAACTTCAGCAAGTGAGATATGGGTCAACAGGAACCTCTTGAAGTTGAAGGAAAACGTGTCAAATACACAGGACCAAAACAGATCACAAAATACATGAGAAATCTTGGTCACTGTAGGCTGGGGACTGACTGATTGGATGGCTGCATTGCAAAAAAGGACTTGGGAATTCTGGTAGGCAGCCAGGTGAACAGAAATCACCAGTGCACCCTTGAGGCCATAGTGCCTACTGGACTGCATTAGAATGGCACAGACCAAAGGATATGTTCATCCCTCTCTACTTGGCATTACTGGGTCTACACCAGGCATCTAATTTTGACTTCTTACTATCACCACTACAAGACAAATGTCAACAAACCAAAAAGAGTCCAGACACTAATATCGTCAGGGAGCCCCAACATGTGATATATGAGGAGAGCATGAAGGAACTCAGATTGTTTATCTTGAAAATAAGATGGTTAAATGCAATCTAATTGTAATCTCCCACTTCCTAAAGGTTACAGAGAAGATTAAGTCAAACCTTTCTGCGATATGCACAGTGAAAGAAAAAGTGGCAACTGGTCATGTGTTGCAACATGAGAAATTCCAACCACACAGGAAAAAAATTGTCTTCAGGAGAGTGGTTAAACACCGGAACAAGTTTGTCTAGAGGGACTGTGAAATCTCCATCACTAGAGATTCTTAAAACTTGGTCAAACAATGTCCTGATTTACTTGTTCTAACATTGAATTTATCCCCTGTTTTCATAGAAGGATGTAATAGATGTCATCAAGATCTTTTCCCCTGACCTTGGACCTCAACCTTCCAATAAATTTGTGCATGGCTCATCGTATAACATAACTGATTTGTGACTAGAAATACACATATTTTTCATGTCCCTGACCCTTTACAGAACTTTATTTGAAGGAAGTAATTTCAGTGAGCCTGTCAGTGTAGGATGGAATTTTGTTTACAGAAAATGGAAACCACTTTCGAATCAATGAGTCCAAACACTGTTTGTCAAATTTCCAAAATCATCCCAAACCCATGAAAACTCCTTTCCTAAAATTGAAACCAATACAATATATACTGTTTAACTGTGGCATATTTAGTGTTTCTTTCTGAATTGTCAACTAACATTTTGATTCAACTTCAAAGTAAATTTTATGTCAACTATATGAAAAAGGAAGGATAAGACAGAAATGTAACCAGCTAATACAAGTTATATATATATTCCTCTAAAATTCATTTAAATTATACTTATAATATTACTATGCATGAAAAGCATTTTTTCCCCCAACAGTTAGGTAAGAATTCTCAAAGTAATAAAACTGAACATTATTGCCAGGTTTTTTGATTACTGCAAAGCATACCTAAAGTTTGCCATAGGTCATGGCTGTTAACCAGAAGACCCTGCAAGTTATTTAAACATTATATCCATATAGCTTTGATTTTAATGTTTAAGCACATTTTAGTGTACTTACCGTTACGTACATGCTGCAGCACTCTGCTATAAACTATACTTATTTCAGAACTGATTTAAGGTTTTACTGCATTTACAGGGTAGATTTTCCACCTGAGATACACATTACCTATTTACTTTCCAAATAAATACATTTAAAGGGAAAATTTGAAACACATATTCACCTGTGAAAAATGTCTTCAAAAGCCCTAGGTAACGGCAACTATTTGTTCAACAGAAGAGGCCTGAATTCTGAACTTACCCTATTTTGTAGGGAATTTCCATTATATATATATATATATATAAAATAATATATAAAATATATAAAATATATAAAATATATAAAATATATAAAATATATAATTTTTTTTTGGTCTGTGATGGCTGTTTTTTCAAGTGATAGTAAGATTTTTTTTTTCCCTCTTTACTTCCTCCATATGAAAATCTTTCAGAACTTTATTAGATTTTTTGGTTTGTACTGCTTTCATAACATAGTGGTCTTACAGTAGGAATAAGTGAGAAATCTGCTCTCTGTCCTAAAACCAGATACAAGAAACACAGACTTTGAGTGTCAATACTTATACTTTTTATCCTAATGTTACATTCTATATTGTGCTGAGCTTACCAGACCATAAAGAGAATGTGGTCTTACCTCCAGTTAAACGCTGTTTGTCATGCTCTTACTGGTCTACCTTATATTTACATTATTTAAAGTAAGAAGAACTTAAGAACTCTGAATCGTTGACACAGTAATGAAAAAGAAAAATATCAATGTTCAGTTAAAGATGCCATCACACATTGGTTATCACGCACGGTTATATAATCTATGATCAGAATTGAACAGTCAAAAAAATCTGATGAAAATAAACAATAAGATCTGTGTATGATGAGCTTGATACATAAATACTCTTTAAGACAAAACTCTAAAGACTACTACTACATGAATGTTTTTCCTTGATTTTACAACTTCACAGATATTGCATACAAAAACTAAAAATTTGTCTGTCCATCCCCAAGGAACTTTTCTGTCTTAAATAACCTACACTTTGTCTTTTTTTTTTTCTTCCAACTAAGCACATCAACAATCCTACTTATACAGCACACTGCACTACAACTACAAAAAATGTATATCACAAGGGAAATAGGAGTTTCTCCTGGTATATGTTAGTGCTGTTATTGAGCATTGTACAAATTATGAATGAATATATTTTATTTGGAAACATGTTATTGACAGAAATCTATCAATAGTAATGTGAGTATTGTCAACAGCCTGCCAATATTAATGTAATTATGATTAAGGG